CTCACAGGAGAGAGCAGATTTTCCAATTTTAATTATTGATTGGGGGCGCGGTGTGTAGAAAAGAGAATGCCTGCCGTTATTACACTATCTGATCCCTTTTTTATTATTCCTCGTGTCTTGGTGTGCTGCGTCGTTATAGTTTAGAAAACGATATAAGCGACGTATTGAATAAAAAGGCACACAGCAGCCAAGAGAGAGAGAGGGTGTGCGGTTTGAGAGGCGCAGGGGCAACACACGGGGTGGAAGGAGGAAAAGTTATACTAGCCAGCGTGATCCATTTCGCGGGGCTCCGGAGCTGAAATTGCTTTCCAATCCCCTAGACTTTCTATCAGCCGTTTTGATATTTAAGTTTCTCATAAGTTGTTCGCCTATACACAGCAGCAGCAGCGAAGCAGGAGCGAGAGAGGCAGACCCGATCCATACATGGGTAGCCAAAAAAGTATTTTAGACGTTATCGCGAACCAATTCTTATTTCGTGGCGAAATTGCTTTACCCCTCTTGTTCATGTTATTGAGAGGAGATGAAAAAGTGACACATGCACAAAGGAGCAGTAAATTTAGCGCGCGATACATTTTCCTCGATTTTTCTGGCGCAACCGAACGAACGGATATTGGCCGCAGGAAAACTGGCAGTGCCGTCAACTGTTGCGAAATTGGGTCTGCGTGGCAAAAAGTTGAATTCTGTGATGGGGTAATACGTGCAAATATTAACATAAATTAATTTAATAATGTACATTATGATTTTAAAAAATTACAAAAATTACAAAGTGGAATTATCTATTAGTAATTCATGTCAAGAAATTGATTTCTTGCCCTGTTTCTCTATCAAACAGAAATTTTTAAATTTCAAAAGTATAAAAATTTGATGAGAAAGTCCGTTTGAAATAATAAAAAATGAATTTCCTAGATGATTGATTGATTTATTATATTATTTTTATTGATTCTACTAAAATCATACAATTAATTCCAATTTTAAGAATAAAAACTCTATTTAAAGGCATCCTGATTCAATAAGTAAACAAAGTTAATTTTTACAAACTCAGTTGAAAAATGACGAGGTATGGTAATAAAAATGTGATTTTATTGCATAAATAATTTGGACATAATTATCACTTATTTATTATTATGTAATTACAATTGATCGTGACCAAACATACTACCAATTTTTTCTATTTTAATTTTATTAATACATTTCAGTTTAGTGCAGCACGAAATTAATTAATTGCAACGTTTATTATTGTAAAAAACAAAGAAGTGTGAAATTTTGATATCAATTTGTACAAACAAAAGTAAAACAACAATAAAGAATACTATAAAAATAAAAAAAATAAGCTTTAATCTTATTAAATATTTTAAAAAGTAGAATATTAATTTTTAAATAAATAAATATAATTTAAAGAATAATTCTTCACACTTCTTTCTTGCTTAAATTTGGATTATGAAAATAAAAACGACTTGCTCGTCACGTCTGAGCCTCGCGAACTTTCGAGTCGTGGTACATTTTGTGCTGAAATATAAAACGGTGGTGGCGAAAGAGCGCGGCGCGATGCATGGTCTGTGATTAATCTTTGACAAACAGCCAGCGCTGGCTTTTTGTCTAGCACAACAAGAGGCGTCTGATGAGGCAGTCATCGCCACTGCTGCGGTTTGCAGTCTTGCTCTGATGACGAGGTTTTATTATAAATGAACTAATTCAGCTCCAGCCGCCAGAAAAAGAGGAGAGTCGGAGAAAATGCATGTGGACAGCAGTCACCCCTTTACTTGACGCACAATGGGTATCATTTGAAAAAAAAAAAAAGGTGCCAGTTTGAATAGCCACGAATTATGGGTGTGAAGGTCAATTCTTGCAGTGTGTGAGAGAGATTCGGAATCCCCTCTCTGCAAAAAAAGAGCTACGTGTGTGTGTTGGCAACCCCTGCAAATGCCGGCGCTGCTGTAATGCCACCCCATTCAGCATCATCACTACCCCCATTGGTATAAAAATTACCATGACAACTAGAGCTTGATGAATCGCGCGGCATTAGAAACAGATTGTGAATTCATGGCAGGCAACTCTCTCAACTTTTCCTCCGCCGCGAGCGCAGGAAAAAATCTGCTCTCCTCCGGCGCCACCCACTCTAATCAATCTGCTTTTCCGAATGTCCACCAGATTGATTGGCGGCCGCAAAACAAAATTCCGCTCAATTATCCCGGCGGCATTCTGGAAGCGAAAATGCCATTATCTCGCACAGAGATCCCTCTCTTCTCTATTTTCTCTCCACTTGAAATTGAGAGGGTGTGTTTGGCGAGTTTCGCTTCCAAATCCCCAATCAGAAATAGATCCGCATCACATTAACTTGGATAATTGCGTCGGCGAGAGCTAGACGGGACAATGGCTTGCTCTTTCTTAAGTGTCCAATCTCGGAGGAAAATTGTGCCGGGGAGAGATGACGGGGCCAGAGTGGAAAGATATAAATTTATTTTTCCCGCTGGCCGCCGCAAAACCTCACCGCCAATAATGTTATAGACCCGTGCGCGGGCATGGACATTGCTCACGAAAATTAGACAGCGCGATTTATAACTGCTTGATAAATTTCACCTTCCATCGTACATGGTCGGTGGCAGGAAAAGAGCTCCTACTTCAGCTAGCAAAATAGAATTATCTGCGAGAGCGAGAAAAAAGAGTAAAATAATAGGAAAAATCTCGACTCTCCAAAAGTTATTTATCGGTTCAATGGGCTCTAAAAACACCCCCTTATATCCTGAGCTGCTCTCCTCTTTGCTATTACTTTGATGGTCTCTGCTTCTTCCTTCGCAACGCCAGCCAGCAAGCGCATCTCTCAGCAGCGCCCGCAGAGAGAACGAAGAGCAGCATCGCTTGTATGGAACAGCAAATCGCACTTGCGGCACTAAACGTATCAAAAGGTGGGCATCTGCGTAACCGCCCGCAACTCCTGCAAAACTAATTGGCCTTTCAACGTAATGGTAAATTTTATTGATCACAAATATGAAATATTTTAATAAAAAATAATTTTCAATTACATTACGTTTTGAAATTGCATTACTTATTTACGGCAGGCGTTGAGTTCTTTTTTAAAATAATACTAAATATAATACGTGACATTCTTTGTAAAATGATTACAAATTTAAGAGTCTATAATTTTTTTCACAAACGATTTTAAATTTATAATAAAAATATACATCCCATTATACAAAAATAGTTTTTCTCTAGAAATTGCTGGTAAAATTTTCAATTCCTAACGTTCATTTCGACTTATTTATTTAAAACCTGTGATTAAAAGAACGTTTGTTTGATTTCATTATCATTAAAGAGATAAATTAGTTAAGTTTTTTAATCTCTATATAGAGAACCGTACAAGAATCATCCCAAAATAAATTTTTCACGAAACAAGAAATCGCACTGGCTTTTGAGATGACGACGATGACGTGTCATCTACTTTGGCTAATTTTTTTCAATCTTTCAACGAAGCTAAGCCAGTTAGTTTCAAAATTTCAGTATAAAACATATGATATTCGACAATTTACTGAAACTATTTATTTAAAATCTTCTCTAGTGTCCATATCATATTATGTTGGTGGCCACTGGTATGGCGCATAGAGTGTTCACGTCTCGGCAGATTGTGGAATAATTTCCTGCTGGCATATAGAGTGAAGCGGCCCGACACAAAAAGCAGCGCGAAATTCTCGGGCAAATTATTTCCTGCGCCAAGTTATTGGCAGGCGGGCGGGCAGCAGCAGCGACCCAGCACTTTCCTCAAGGTATAGTGGAGTAGCCGGCAGTCGGGCCCAACTTTAATAATAAGGGGGCACGTCAACAGCACCACACACAATTTACAAAGAAGCAGAGAGAGCACACAGAGAGTGTATGGTAATTAGGAGAGTTTTGCCTGCACAAGAGAAGGAAGGTATAGCGGAGCGGAGCAGCCAGCAGCTAATGGCCAATTTGCGTGGTTCGCTCCTCTCGCCGGCAACAACCATTCTAACAACTAACTCGTGATTGCAAAGCTGCTCCTCAAAGAGGCGGGCGGCCCTTATGATAATAATAACACGGGGCGTAATAATAACCGCCTCCAGAGAGAGAAGCATCCCCTCCCTCTCTCTCCACCTTTTCAGCCCCTAATTGGTTTTTGTTTAATTAAAATGATGAATGAACTCAATAATCGACGCCGCGCGCGCACGTGATGGCATCTCTCTCTCTCTCATTCTCCTTCTCATATTATATTAAAAGCAGGCCGCGCCATAGATCACAAACTATTTTTAATATCTACTACCGGGAGAGAAAGAGACGAGTTTTGTGGGTGCTGCGCTTCGGCACCGGGGATCATCCCGTAATAAAAAAGCAATGTAGTAGTAGTTGCAGCAGCAGCAGCCATTCTTTTCCGTTTTTTAATAAAAGAGATGATTTTTCATCACTCTCCTCCACCGCCGCCTGCCACACACTCTGCACTAACTGCCGCCGCCGACGCCGCTCTTTCATTAAAAAAGTTTTCAATTTTAATTTCATTCTCTCTCGTTCTTGCTTGCTTGCTCGCCTGCTTGCAATTTAAGTAAAATAAATTACACAAAGCGGCTGTTAGAATTTCATTAAAAAGCGGCTAAGCTTCTCTTTCTCCCTCTTTTTATACGTAAAAAAGAAAACAAGGCTGAAATTGCCTCGCGCGTCGACGGTGGACGAATTAATTAACAAGTACGAAAAAACAGCGCGTTTCGTTTTAATCAACGCCCCGCGCCGACCCACGTGGCGGCCAATTATCGCAGCCGAAAAATTATAATTGAGATACTTGGTTTTTGAGACTCACCGTGCGTTTTAGTTGCCGGATCCGCGCCGAAACCGTACTCGCCTATGGTGCCGGTGGTTGGGGAGGTCAGAGGTCGGTCTGTCCCGTCCGTCCGTCCAAGAAGTTCGGCTGCTCGCGCTCAGCGTCCTGCGACCAGAGAAGTCACTTCTCGACTGTGTTATCTCTTGTGGATTTTCCCGCACACTAGCGAGTCTCACTGCTCCCCGCGTGCGCCGCCTGCGCGCTTCAACCCTTGCTGCCGGCGAGGGTGGCGCATGCGCCCCCCACCCCTTCCGCCGGCACCCCTCACCTGCCGGCAACCAGACTGGACACTAAGGGACACACAGCACAATGTATTTAAAAATGAATTTAAATTTAATATTGAAATTGAATAACTGCATTAATAAAATTTCATTTTTGTATTTTATATGTTCAGAGAGCTACTGGAAAACTTTATATTCTTGAATTGAAATGCAAAATATTATAACAAACTTTATCTTAAATTTTCATAATGCGCATATTATAAATACAATTATTATGCATAATGAAAAGTTATAAAATAATAGTTTTTAATTTGCATTTTTTTAAGATCTTATTTAAAATAAAAATTTTGAATAAATTTTATTTTTTAAATAATTATTTATTTTAAGCATTTATTAATTTTTATAATATTATTATTCATTGCATCTAATTCCCATATAAATATATGAAAACAAAGAATAACAGAAAATGTTTATTTTGCCAAGTTGTTAATTCTAAAAATATTTATACATTTTACCTTCACTACTTTGGAATAGAGGGAATATTTGGAAAAACGTTTTGCTAGGTTTATCAGTGGCTGCCTTACGATTGTGTTAATGTTGTTTTTATCTGCCACATAACAAGAATCAATTTTTTTCCTTTGCTGAGTTAAATATTTAGAAAAAAATATTGATATGAAATCAAATTACATTTTCTTTATTTATATTCCCTAATATTTCTCGTCTCTCTAATAATCCAGATAAGAAACTATACAAAAATAACTTTTATTCTGCATATGGCAAAAAACATAATTATTCATGTGTAGTAGCATAATGTCATGATAAGAATTATCAGCAAAAACATTAAGAATTCCGGCGATACTTCTTGTCTTTTCCTGTTTCCTCTTCCTTTGCGCAATCCAACCAGTAACGATGAACGTTTTATTTTTTGATAATTCCCAGAGCTCAACCGGCCGAGATTGCGGGCATGGCTTGTGTGCAAATTGCGCGGAGAAGTTAAACATTGCAAAAATCATTCACACGCCGAGATAAAAGAAAATCCGTTTGAGTAGCAATGAGACGTTTAGTACTTTTGATAGTTTTGAGTCAACATGTTTGTCAAATTCAAAGTTCACCAGGACTTCATGATGATGGCGACGAAGTAGGTTTTACATTGCGTTTTAAATTTTCCTCTGGATTGTGTAATTTTTTTATCACATTTTTTGCTGTAGTCTGACGATTTTGCCGTGGTTAACGTTGCTGTTATAAAAGACAGGTATGGTATTAAATTAAAAATTTATTATTAATTTTCTTAATTCTCGTCACCTCTGCTACAGTTTGAAGGAAATTAGGGATGGGGTGAGAGCTTTGGTCAAAAATACACCAGGACATCAATCAGAAGACGCTCTTTCGGATTTGAGGTAAACTAATTTTTTTTTTTTTTTTATAATAATCTCCGGAATAAATGGTACACACATGCTTTTTTTAAATTTATACTTTGAATTAGGACGGGTTTTCAATCTGTACTAGAATATTATGCCAATAATACGTGTCAAACGGGCGTCCAAGAAATGAAGGAAAATTTTAATAATTTTGCAAAGGAAATTAAAGTAAGATTGTTAAAATAATTGAATAGATGATATTTTGAGCTTTTTATACATAATTAAGGAATCTTTGGAGACGACGGAAGAAAATATACTCGCCTCAATTAAGGACCTGAAGGATATTTTGAATGCAAAAAAGGTTAAACGTTATAGAGATTTTATATGTAGTTAATTTTATATTTTATTTACATAAACAGATGAATTCACGGGATGCTCGTTGCAACAATAAAGTGGGTATGTTGTGTAATAATTCAAAATTATTTTGCATATCTTTATTTTAAAATTCAACTCAGGAGAACCGCTTCATACAATAAGACTCCCTAAATCTGATAAAACTTTTTTGATTTACCAAAAAAATGTGAGCAATAATTTGTATTAAATATATTTTTTGTATAATACTAATAAATATGGCGCAGGGTCGTGGAATTGATGGAACCCAAGCAAGGGAAGTTTGCAGCGATCGTGGTATGATTTTGGCCTCGTTCAAAACTTTGGACCATATAAAAGAACTGTGTAGCGTGCTCTCAGACAAAGGTGAAAAATTTGTATTTGAACACAAAAGAATCCATCAAGTCAATTTTTGGAACAAATTATTTTGAATATTTAAGGCTCGGAATGCTGGACATCAGGGAAGGAGCAGGAGCGTTCTGGGAATAAAATTTTCTATTGGCAGACTGGCGAATTAGTTGATCCAACCTTGCTGCTGAATAAAGACCCCGCAACTCCAATTTTTTCGAAGCAGAGTGCAGATCGCTGCATTAACATTTCCAACTGCCAGCTCGCAGTTTCAGTTTGTACTTGGCGCTACACTTGTGTTATTTGCGAAGAGCCCGATTATTGCTAAAATTGTTAAAAATTAAGCAAAAATTTTATTAGCAATCAAAAGTTAAATACTTTTTTTGAAAAAAAAAAATGCAAAATAATTAATATTTTTGGCAGAGATGCTATAGGCACAATTAATGAAAACAATTATATTAATTTTTTGTCTGATTTTGTCATACAAAAAATTTAAAATTGGAAAGAGGAGAACAAGTGATTAAAATAATTTGAAAAATTTAATTATTTTTAATTATGTGTTTTAGAAAATTGCACATTCATTAAATAATATTTTAACAATTTAGAATATCGCATAATTATCAATAACAAGTTTATAGAGCTAAGAGAAACTGTATTCGGATACTACGTAATTCAATATAATTATAAAATATATTTTTGCTATTGTCCGTTAATTCAATAATTAAGAAATTCTAGATTACAAAGTCTGTACTTCTATTGCAATTTTTTTTTTAAGAAGTGAATTTTTATGATGCAACTTTAATTTTCAATATTTGAACATGTATAAAAACTTATGAATAATTGTGACGATAAATAAAATTTAATTGAAAAATTTTCAGATTTTATTAATTTTTCAAGCAAAAAATGTAATTGTCAAAATTTTAATTATTTATTTATTCTCATAAAAATTTTAAAATTACCCTTTTTTGAATGGAAATTGGAAATAATTTCTATACAATAAAATAATTAATATAATTATCATAATTTATAATTTATAAATTTATTATTGCATGCAGCCGATGATACTGCAAGCGCTGCACGCGCATGGTCGGCGCCCCGCCCCCTTCGCCTTCATGCTGATCAGTCTGTCGATTTGTAAACATTGCTTGTATGTACTTAAGTTTTTAAACAAGTACATATTATTTTTTAATAGTGCAGAAAATAGCTATTCAGATTATATCAGAAGTACCACAAATTCAACCCTTTTCTGACCAACTTCAATAATGGACCTTCCACCCTCCAACGAGAGCTACAAGGACGTGAATTACTGGAACGAGCGGTACAAGACCGAGGAAAAGTACGACTGGTTCAAAACGTACAAAGATTTCGTCCACCTTCTGGAGGAGCACGTCAAGAAATCGGACAGAATCCTCATGTTAGGTGTGTTAAAATTTAAATTTTTGGCAATTTTAAATTTATTTAATGGAAATTCCAGGCTGTGGAAACAGTTGTTTGAGTGAACAGATGTTCAACGACGGATTCAAATACATCGTCAACGTGGACTTTTCCGACATTGTTCTTAAGAAAATGCGCCTCAAACTGCCGAGCATGGAGTGGTTAACCATGGACATCAAACACTTGGCCTTCATTGCTGGAAGTTTCGACGTGGTGATTGAAAAAGGAACTCTGGACGCACTTCTCGTCGGAGAAGACGTTTGGCACATTTCCGAAGAAGGGGCAGAAATGATGTCCCAAATCGTTGCAAATGTAAACTTTTTATAAATATCGTTTGTTAAATAAAATCTCCTGGTGTTTTAGGTCAGACACGTTTTAACGCCGTCCGGGAAATTTCTGTCGATCACTTTCGCCCAACCTCATTTTCGGATGCCGCTGATAAGAAAAGAATTTTGGGATGTCAAGTATGAAACTTTTGGAGACGGTTTCCACTACTTCTTCTACGTGGCCAAAATGAAGCAAGAAGCGGATGAAGATAGATGACGATCTTAGAAAAACATTGATTTTTAAATCAAAGTTGCTCAACAACCTTTGAAATTTAGGCAATGTCGAAAGTTTTTATCTTCAATGGGACACCAAATGATTTTGTTCATCAGTTTCCTGAATCTATTCGGAATTAATATCTCAAGACTAACAATCATGCATTTTAAAGGAAATAACAGTTAACATTTTAATGTCATAAGAGCAAAAAAATATTGACCAATTTTCTAATTATAATTTTTAAATGTTGATCGTATAATATACTATTTTACTTTTGAGTTTTATAATAAAGATTATATTTTACATTAACCGGAAACCTCTATTTTATCCCTTGTAACAACAATTTGGTTCTATTTAATTGAAACTCAATGTATAATGAAATGACAATTTTAAAATAATAACAAACATAAAATAATTAGAGTTCTCGGGTTTGAGTTTCTCATAAGTAAGATGGGCAGAAAAAAACAGCCAGAATTTTAATTGAAGCTGCTTCCACATTTATTACAAATGTACAAGTACACGGAACTAATTTCAAAAGGCATTCCATAACCAAAGAGATACACTGATACATTGATTACAAAGTAATGCAAAGGCGGAAATCAGAATTTTCAATTCAAATAGGTGCGTTAAAATTAAGTAAAAACAGGCATCGTTTAACAGTAAACTGGTGAATGTTGGTGCAGCAATTTAATTTAGCGCCCTAATTCAGTCTTAATAAAAATGCTCCATCCGTATTCTTCTGACCAATTCTTGCAGTCGCTTACTTCAACAGTCATTCCAATAGAAAAATACATATCTGAACAGCAACTAAGAGCATTGTCCTCTGTTTGTGTACAAGTGTAGGTGGTGATTGAGTTGCTTTAAAACCGAGGCACATCAGCATTAAAATCATTTCGGTTCATTTACTTGGCGAATCAGTTTCCAACAATCCAGGAACAAAACTCAACAATCAGAATACGTGAGATTTGGGGTTTACAATTTTTTTCTCAGCTAGTTGGCAACTAACAAACGGTTAAAATTTTCATACAAAATTACATTTAAAATGAAAGATTTTCATGCTCGCATCACATATTTTACAAATGACAATGAAAACTAAAATAAGTTGCCTGATCTGGACTAACTGCTTCTGACAAAATGATATGCTGATTCGGGTTGCATTTTTTCTGCATGGTAGAATCTTCGAGGCAAATCCTTCAGTTTTACTTTTAACTATCAGACAATTCCAGTGCCAGCCGGTTATAATGAAAGCACTGAACGAAAGCAAAAATCCACTCCCGTTTTAACTCTTCTTACGAATTAAAATATAAATCTTAAGTGCAAGCCTCCAGCTTCTTCCAACTTCTTCTTAATTTATTAAAAGCCTTAAAAGCAATCGGAAACGAGGCAAAACTAACAACAATGGAATCAATTAAGGATAAAATCGGCACAAATGAACATAATCCTAGAAAGAGACCCAGTACAATTTCCCACACAATTTTTGCCAGCACAGGCCGTGTTGAAAAGAATCGGAGAGAGGCGGTTCCGTGAAAAGTCAATCGGAGTATACTTGATGGAGGTTTGTTTGGAGAGAGGGGTTCTTTTAATTCTTGTAGGTCCCAATTCTTCTCCAGGCATTCCTCATTCGTCCTTGGGCTTTTCCACCGGATCCTCCTCTTCCTCAGAATAATCAGTGGGTTTCTCACCGGGCTTCAGCAGACGACCCACGTAAGTGTATTTTTCTGAAAATACATTAAAAAAATTAATCAAGAAGTCGTTGAAACAAAAATTAATTTGTAAATCAAGATTTGGGGAAGGCAAGGAATAATTTAAAATAGTATCAAAGTGCTTAATTTTGGAGTCGACGATTTTTCTGAAATTTATTTGTCAGAATTGTCTGTGGATATTTTGCAATATTTTTTTCTCAGCGCCTAGCCTTTCTAATTGTAAGGTCAACACTAAATTGCCATACCCAAAAAAACAGCAGCTTCTTGTAATCTTAAATAACAATAAAAAAATATGAAATAAAATCATAAGCAAACTGGAAAATTTATGTAAAATTCTCTTTTATGAAAGAACTAAGATTTCTTTTATAGAGAATTTAGAGGCCAAATCTTTAAAAAGCGATTTTTGGTTTGAGTGCATTTTGGTGAGGGTCAATGCTAAGCCAATAACTCTTATAAGCTTTACGTTGCAGTCATCAACATGACAAAAACTTTTCCACTTGAAATAAACACAAGCAAATGAGAGTGACGCAATCTCATGCGTTTTGGATTTATGAATTTCTGATAAATTGATTCTAGATAAATAAAAACTGTTAATAAAATTCATTCTGATTAATTATTTGCAAGCAAATGCTGAAAACGTTTTTGTATGTCCTTTCAGATAAATAAGAGGTTCCCGCATTTTGTTATTTTTTTGGTTAGCAAAGTATTTTAGACCAATTTATTTTTTACCATAATTCAAATAGGACAAAAAAATAAAGAGTTAAAAAAGTGGGAATATCCAAATTGATCCAAATCATTAATCAGATGTTAAGTCAATAATCGACAGGATGAAAAAAACCTAACTAATTCTGTTTTTTAGAAAAAGGGAATGATTGTTGGAATAAGTAAGTGGGTTACAAGGTTACAGTGCAGTTTTTGGCCAAGGAAAGTTGGCTGCAATCACGCGGCACAAAATGAATGGTTGGAGCCGGGCACTATCGTGGTTTCTCTTTAGATTATTTTTTTCTCTCTCCGCAATTAGTTAGCCACAAATATTTAACTTTAAAACTCCTTAATATAGTAAAAATTGAGAAGGTTTCAATTAAATTTTTAATGATCTAGTTATCAATAGTTTGCAGTGACTTTGAGTTCGGGAGTGAAGAGTTCGTAGCGATTAATGACTTTTGTTATCTTATCAAAAGATTACAACATACCCAAAATATATCATTACGTTATGCCAGCGGCCCTAAAACGTTAGGTTTTCCCCTTGAAAAATTTCAACTTTTTTAATTTGGTGTGTAAGAAATAATTGTTATCATTAAAAGGTTTTTTCAAATATAAATGTTATAAAATAAATAAATAGATTCTCATTGCATGCCTTTTACTATTTGCTTTGAGAAATTCCACATGAATAACAGCTGCAGGGTAAATAGTGGTGTTTACCACTCAAATGAATATAATAGCAAAGTACTGTAAATAATTCTTAGTCGTGTTTCAATACAGCAAACAAGAATTCAATCTTGACTGCAGACTTAATTTATAATTAAATCCAGTAATTTTATTAAAGATTTGTAATTATTGAATCAATAAATAAGTGGCTTTTAAAACGTCAGTGAAGAAACTGGCTGTCAGCAGTCACTAATCAATGCTAATTGAGTGCAAATCAGTCGGCAGTCGGTGAAGAAACAGTTTAATTTTGAAGGTGAATGACTTTCTTTTGAATTCGCGAGTGACTGTGGTCAAAAAAAAAGAGAAGAAAAAAATCTGCACTGTCACCAAACTCTCCCCTTGCCTAGAGAAAAGGATTGTGACGCACGGACTTGTGTAGAAACAAGAGAGGGGTGCATATCTTAAAGCTTAATTGGCTTTAATTGACTGTTAATTACCGGTGAACTGCATTTCCCACTCGCGCACCGACTCCATTTCGGCGGGGGTAAGGTCACTGAGGTCATCGTACTCGTCTTTGCCAGGGCCGACCTGGAAGGTGGCCAAGCCCCTGCTGGCGTCCCTGCCGCCGAAGGCCGCGTACGGTCCGCCTGAAATTGGATTCGAAAGGTCAGAGGAGAGGTCATGCAGTTAGGGTGGGAGGGGGCGAACCTGGGCCGTAGAACCTGCGGCCCCTGGTGACGTCGAAGACCTTCCCGTTGACGG